CAATTGTCTCCAACCTCACGCTGAAACACGCAATCCCCGGTCGCCTGATTGTCGCCTCAGCATCCATCCATGGCATCACCACCCTCCTCGTGAACGTGTACGCTCCGGCCAGCGGCGACGCGTCCCTGCGCATCAGGTTCCTCGAAGAAGTGGAAACCATCATCACCACGCACCTGCATCCGATCGTCGACGGAGAAGCGCAACCCGCCCTTCCGATGATTGTCGGCGGCGACTTCAACCTCTGCTTGAGCAATCAACGCAACTACTTGTCCTCCTCTACTCATCCCCCGCCATTGGATCTTGCGCAGAGGTTCTTTGCCAACCTGACCTCCCGGCTCAACCTGTCCGAGTCGTGGACGGAGTGCCACGGCAACAAGCATCTGTACACCTGGTCCCCAACAGGCAACTCCCCTGGTTCCAGCAGACGCATTGATTACATCTTCACCAACGATGCATTTCCCTTTACCCCCGTCTCCTTCGAGGCTAAGGAAACGAGGTCTGACCACCGAGCTCTCATTGCGGCTTTCCACCACGTTGACCACCAACACCGTCCCCCTCCGCCATTCAGACTGAACTCCCGGCTCCTGACGGACCAGCGTCTGTTGGACTTTGTCCACACGTGCATTGATCAGCTGAACGAGTCCATCCGGCTGTCGAAAGATCATGCCCCCTTGGCCTGGGACATTTTCAAATCCAGAGTTGTCCGCTACGCGTCGTCCCTTGGCGCCTACGTGGCGAAATGCAACCGCATTGACGAGGAAGCTTGTCATCATCTCATCACCCACATCGAATGCCTGTTGCAGGATCCCCTGCTCACGGCAGACCAGCTCAAGCGACTCCAGGACGCTCGCTCTGGCGCTCTCGCTGAGCTCCAAGAAATCGCTCGTACCAAGGCTGAAGGCGCCAGGTTGAGGTCGCACCACCTCTCGTGTGCCCTCACCGAACGCTGCACCAAGGTGTTCTTTAGCCTTGAGCGTGAGTGCATCAAAGCCCAAACCATTGCCAAACTCACGGTGAACGGCGAGGACTTTACTACTCCGAACGACAAAGCATCCGTGCTGCACGACTTTTACTCCAAACTCTATGACTCTGAACCAATCGACGAGGCTGCCCCTGAGCGAGGTCCTTGCGCAAGCAAATCCGGCGCGAAAGCTGTCCCGAGCAGAACAGAAGTCACTGGGCGCGGATCTCAACCCGTACGAGATTGCTGTCGCTATCGAGAACACTGCGCCTGACAAGAGCCCCGGTCCTGACGGGCTGACAGGTGCCTTCTATCGCAC